TATAAGTCATTAGACTATCTGATTCATACAATGTTATTTGGTAAACTTGTTAGTATTACTGGCAGTGCATTTTGATGAAGAATGCTACATTGTGTCAACAAATAAAATTTTATTTATGAATCTATCATGTAAAAATTATAATACAAGCAAGTATACAGATAATAAAACAACAGCTCTATATAAATACATTACCCGAACTTCAAAATTAAAGTTACAAAAGTAAATTTAAAATTATCCATAATTTTGATGCTGATTTTTTAGTTTTTTTTTATGGTTTCTACCGAGATTCTATTTGATTTGTCTTTAGCTCTTTTGACAAAACTAACTCTTATATGTATACTAGTGGGTATTTCATGTTATTTGTTTTCTGCGCTTTATAGACTTATGTATAAGAAAACTGCAAAATAGAGGAAGAGGTTTATGAATTTTTATTTTGAGCAACTTTTAGTGGGAAGATTTCAAATTCCAATCTAATATTTGACACATTTAGTCATTTCCGAAGAATAACTGTCGACTTACAATAGTTGCCTCCTTTTGATTCAGGAGTGCAACCACAAACAATAAATAACAGATTTCGTAAAATATTTTCATGGCAGGATGACAGACATTTTTATACAAATTGAAGTTTGTCAAAATGCCTAATAGTGTATATATTTTGTTGTCAAGATTGAGTAACAGTAAAACGCATGTGCAATTTTTGGTATGTGTCACATGTATAGATGGACACATATAGTGTCAATGTCAGATGACCACTCCAGTTTATATTTTTCATTCCAACAAATTGTAAAATGTGGATGGGTTCCTCTGTTAGCATACTTATTTCAAATACCATATCCTCCGTGTTTCTCCTCTTTTTTTTTTAAATGAGGTTTGATTGTGAAAATATAATCATACTACTTTGTCAACATCAGCAAAAAAATATCAATACAAAACGAAAATAGCATTCAACCTAATAAAAATGTTTGTAGTCATCTTCCAGAGGTTGTTTTTTTTTTTTACTGTCCAGTGACAATGTTAAAAAACTATGAATAGTATAAGTGATAACGATATTGTTTTGTTGTATTTGATTGGGTTTCCTATATATATATATATATGATGGTGTATCATTTTTAAAATTGTTTATGATTGTTCATATTTTTTTCAATTTGGCAAACAAAAAAAAAAAAATGATTTTCCTCAAAAGTACTATTTGAATAGAAAACTGAAAGGTTCCAAATGCAGCTACTGATTTTCTATATGAAATTGTTGACTTACCTTCAAAATGGATTCATAATTATTTGACAAGATTACTAAATTATATAATTTATTATTACAACTCGTGTGAAGTAAATGAATTAAGTTATGATTCGTCAATGTTCGTAAATAAATTGTGACGTTTTCATCTTTTGAAATGAATATTTTTTATTGTCCATATGTAATTTTTGATTGATCTGTGTTGCAAATAAATATAAACAGTTTGGAAATCAAAGAAAATGTTGCAAAACATTTTGACTGATTATATGATTATTAATATTATAATTTTACTATGCTCATGTTCGGAACATCTAGAATAATTGATATAGCGTTGTTAAAATCTTGGAAATATATTGTTTGCGAACGGCTTTCTAGTTAAGAATAAAATAATTATGATTTCGAATATCGGAATATGCAAATATTTTCATAATTTCAATATTGTTATACATGTAATTCGTTCAAATGATAGACATTGGTAATATGATATTTTCATTTCAGCAAAACTATATATATAAAAAAAAATCACTTATATGTAAAAAGAACAAATTAAAAAAATAATATCAATCGGTAAACAAATGTCATGAGTAATTGATTTATACATTTCAATACACTAAAACTAATTTCAATGTTAAATTTATATCAATTTCAACCCTGTAGAGAGATAAATTAAACATTAATAAGATTAAATTTGTATTACTCATGAGAGCTTTGATCCAGTACTTTTATTACACACTTTAAAACTTTTAATAGTTTAATTGAAGCGGTATATAGAGGAATTGGAGGGAAATTTTATGTAAGTGATTGTCTCAGTATAATAAAAATTTTCTCTCACTGAATAGTGAATTTCTTTATAATACACCTTTAGGCTTTTACATGTTATTTTTTCTTTGGTTTTATATAATTTATAGGATAGCGATATATGTATATTGCATGGCTGGGGATTATCACGCAGGCTAATATTTATTGTACCGGTTTGATGAAAAAGATAACAGTCCGGTTTCAATTATTGTTTAAAACATGTACCGTTGGAATAAAGAATAGAGTAATAAACTTGTAAACAATTTGACTGGAATCTTGTAATTACAACTTTTACTATGAAATTACTATAAAATGAAAGATTACAATGCTCTACTGAATACTGATGTGCGATTGGCTAATTTATTAACTAATGAATATTCATAAAAATAGTTCCCATGAATGCAAGTAGCTATAAAATGCAATTTCATAATCCCACATCATACATAATAACCAGATTTCGATTAATTGAAGAAAGAAATATTCAGATGCATTAGCAATCTATGAAACTTTACGATATAAAAGCTATTTTGGTGAATTTAAAGAAATTCTCTGTTCAGAGATATTCCACCATTGGACTTGGTTTTATCAATGATTCACCTACTATTGGAAGATGAAGATCACGTGATTAGTAGTGACAGATAGAATTTTATGAGAACGTTACTGAGGTCAGGGGTTACATTGGTAAGAGAGGTACCGCTTTTACAACTTCATTTTATTATCGATGGATAACATACACACATATTTTGTGTTTTCTGGGTTTTATCTTCGATAAGGAATATATTTTTCTCATGGAAGGAACTTTTTATAAAAGTCAAAGGTAGGAATCGTACAATCAATTTATCTTATATCTCTTTTTGCTTTTCTTTAAGGCAGTTTATGACCTAAATAAGGCACCGTTTTACTGCCGTATCGGAAACTGCATAAAAATATCATCTCAATTAAATGTAACCCTAACCGGACTTTAAAATGGTTATTATTTCTGAAATTGAACGTTTAAACTCTTTTTATTTCTCTTTCATGGCGCATAAAAAGTGCATAATATTGGAAGTAACTGCATATAGTTATGGCTTTGTATTTATGACAATTTTATGAGATCGTTGTTTTAACACGGTAATTAATTAATTTTAATACTCCTGTGAGATGATTAAACAGTTTAACTACAGTTAATAATTAAAATGAATTGGAACATTTCAATTTGATATATTTTTTGTGTAATAAATGATTTTAATGTGCAATATTAGATAAACTTTATATTTATTTTATTTTCTACGTTTCATTACATGTTACATGTAATTACAATGTTATTGTTTGTTTCATTTACATTGTTTATCCTTTTAAAGTAAATATTTTGTTTAATTATTTAATTACTTATATCATAATCCTTTTTAAAAAAATATACACATGATGGAAAAGCATCATTTAATACTTTTATGATGAAATAAATTTTATTTGTGATAGTGTTAGGGTATTCAAATAAAAAAAAAGAAAAAAGTACCTGAATTGGGAATGTGCCTAAAAATTTACAGAAAAGAGGGTTTTTCGTTTTAATCAGATTATTTCATTACAATTAATTCAGCAACATAAAAGAACTATAAACGACGTACTTTGCATGTAAAAATCCCATTTTATTTATTTCTTCCGACACATTTAGAATAAAATTATTTAATTAGACTCAGTCTTACTAAAATACTTATTCAAGCTGAACGTGTGGACATACTGAAATTTGTATTGCATGTTTTTATGCTTTTACTCAAATTTAAAAAAAAAGATGTAGTCAATAGTATAACTATTAGTAAGGTTAATACCATGGTCGTCAGATCGAAAGGGATAACATAAACAACATCATTAAATGTTTGAAAAATTATTAAGTTGCAACGTGGAATTATGAGATTAACTAACTCGTACAGTTCTAGTTCTATTAACAATTCCACATGTGAAAATTGCTAAATCATGTTCGGTAAAATAATGCATGTTTCTCACGTATAAAATGTTTTGCGGGTGAATTTCTTTTCAATTGAGAAAAGAAAAAAAACTTTTCGTACACGCAGCAAAGAAAAAAGGAAATTCATCAAAAAATGAACAAAGTACAAAGCACTGATACTACATTGAAACGTTTAAGTTCAAAAACAATATTTACATGTAATAGTATGTTAATTTCAAAACATTACAAGTTGACAGGAAAATTAGAACGTGAAAATTAAAATTTTTGTAGTGATTGAAAGCTGAGGTTAGACATTATAGAGGAGTTAAAAAGACATTACATGTAATTATTACATAGTAAAACTTTGTTTACACACAGGTACATCATGTAAGTGACTGACCCATCTAGTCAAGAAAATTTTTCATCAAGGGTTGTGTCCTTTTCCAGGATGACAAGGTGTTTTTAATTTGATGATATTCTTATTTGATTAAACATGCAGTGGGTGTGCAAATTTAATCAAGTAAAAAATAGATTTGTTGTAATGTTTTTATATGTTTAAATCTTGAGCAAAAATGAATTAGTCGAAAATAACGAATCAATATTTTACAGATTTCGATAATTTAGAATCGGTTTCAATCTTTTAAAATCTTGTTTGAAGAATGACGAAGAAACAATGCGTGTAAATACTTATTTCAAACACTTACAATAGTTCAAAATTGTTTTAACCTTTTCAGTTGCTCACTTCGAAAATAGTATCCCACCCTTTTATTTTTAAAGCATCACTGTCCACTTTATAACCAAACCTCTGGCGTATTAATTTGCAATCTGAACTATAGTTATATTGCTAAGTAGAGCAACATTCATAACGAATAGTACGTTTTGATTCTTTATTCCAGGTGAAAATACACTGAGAGGAATGAGAAATATTTTATTTTATTCTGCATTTCAGGCAAACTGGTTCCATTCAGTATATTTTTTTATTCTTTATTTAGATTGAAATGATGATGAATTGAATCAATAGTAATTTCTCTTATTCTTCATTTTCCAGGTGGAATGATACATTATGGAATCAGGGAGTAACTTATTAGCTCACTCGAGTTTACCTTTCTATCAAAACGGACTTTCTAGTACTACTGTATCAAGTTTATTATCATCTAGTCCAAGTACTCAAGATACGTTAAGTCGTACGGCTTTATCCACCCAGAACGGGTGGCCATCTAACTATACAGGTGAAACAGGCAATTCTTGTTCGATGGCTTCCTACGGAAATCTTCAGCTAGGAGCTTCGTTTCCAATGAATGGAAAATCTCCATATAATTCATTTTCATCGGCTAGTGCTGACTATTTGAACTGTAGGCAAATGAATCCTCTCAATCCAATGAACCATTTGAATGCTATGCCTGCAATGAGAAACTATTCACTATATGGAGATATGTACCAGGCAGCTCATCCACCCGGGTATACAAATGGTGGATTTTATCCGGACATGACACACGGAATCCCTCCATTGCCGGGTAGAGATATAGATTGTCGGAGTTCTGTGTCGGATTCCCCTAACCAAGGTATTACTTTCTCTTATTTTTTTATCCTATATAAGTCAATGAACAACAAAGACGGAACTTGATGGTTTTATCTTTTACAAAAACACGTTATAAATATATATTACAAAGAGTGATCGCCCTTTTCTCTAATCAGTTGCCCAAAAAAGTTTCAAGATGAGTGACACCAACAAAAGTGTTAAAAAAACTTGATTTTGTACATTAAATTTCCTATCTCTTTACGACGATATTAAAATATGTTTTTTAGAAATTATATGAAGTGAGATTTTCTACTAGTTTAGCGTATTTTTAATCAAATGGTTAGATCTAAACGTTGGTTTTCCATTTCTCTGTTAATTTATAACACTTTCGGTGATTGCATTCTGAAATTATTACTTTATTCATTTTAAATACTTTACAAATATTCCCTTAATAGTATTTTACTTATGATTTTAAAAAGTTATATTTATTAATTCCATTGATAGTTATCTGTCCTAATTACAACACATTCATTGGTATATCTGCTATTTTGACAAATTTTCTCACAATAGTCTTCATTTATCATCCTTGTCATCAGAGCGTTCAACCAATTTGTAACAATTATTTGTTTTCAACAGAAAATATATTGGCTTGAAAAACATGGCAATCGTTTTCATTTGATAAATTGATATAAAATGTTTTGACACTACATTGCTAAGGATGTAATAATGGACTCGTGATTGACTTGAAAGTTAGAATCACTTTATCAAATTCTAATTTGTTAACCTGTCTTGGCCTCCCAAACATCCATTTGTCTTCATTGAAGACATTTTAGAATGACTGTGAGGCACGAATGAAAATATCTAATGAGAATTTAATTTGAAATTGACGGAATTACATTAATTATCGATAAACAAATAAAATAATCATCTTATTATAACTGTCTACTATAATATATTTAATTCCTTATGTTGAAGAAAAAAACCCATCTGATATCTTTAGATACTTTAAAAAAAAAATCAGTATTGTAAATATAAAGTGTAAAAAAAGATATAAATATGCCGGACGATATCGTAAGGCGTTGTGTTAAGAAACTGATTTGGGTATTAAATTTGAAGTTTATGTTGCATATAAAAGTCTTAAAACTGAAGAAAAAGTGCATGATTCATAAGATTTAGGAACATAGACAGTGTACGTGCAGCATGCACAGTCTCTTGCTGTGCATTTCCGCATAACAATGGAAACGGGTCTCCACCAAAATTCACGCCAGACGTATAATTCATAGGAAAATCTCCCAGGTTGAATAGAAAATCTGGTGAAAAGCTTCAGATTTTAAGTGATTTATAATTCGACGAAAGATGAGGATCACTAGAACAGTTTGTAAATCTCCCATTTGAAATTTAAACGTGTCCAGTAGTTAGTTGCCGCTACAAAAAAATATGATAAAGCTGTGGGAAAATAGCCATGATGACTAAGAATAGATCAAAAGTAAATGTCAAAGTACTGACAGGACAAGAGACGTTCATCCTTTCCGATATTTCATCTTGTCTTCCACGATGAAGTATTGAACTCATTCATAACACCGAGGAAATATGTCCTCATAATTGTTATGTAGAAATCAGGTATCATCCTAACACGTACAGTGACAACTGTCGCTGGCAGGCAAATTAGATAATTTGTTAATTCTGTACTGGACAATATTAATAAGTATACAATGACAGATTTACAAAGCCTGTTACTATGTCGTCCGTGACCAGGACTATCAATCATTCTTTTGTTATGCCCTCTGATATTATGTAAGTCCTTCTATGACAGATCAGTCTTTTCCATTGCTCAATGACAGTTGACGACTTTGTTCTTGATAAAAACATAATGACGCTAGAATTTTGTTTAAAAACCATATTGTTTTAAATCTACAAATTTTATATCAAAATTGTTAGTGCAATCTAGTTCGTCAGGTTATTAAAAGGCTACTTCTAGGTTTGGGACATAATACTAGTATACCCCTTCCCAGTTCTAACTGGCAAGCTTTCCATGCAAGCGCGTTTTTTCTGAAATCATTTCCGTTTCTTCGTAGCATTCAGTAATTTCGGGATTTTTTTTAACCATCAAGGATAGAAAATGAGAGTCTAAGAAAGTGTTGGAGATCGATAAACTATTTATCTTTTATTACGTGTAATTCTCAGAGGTATAATTCGATAAAGTACGAAATGAGATCAATGCTGGGATGTGAACCGTCTCACTTACGACCATCACCAATTACCACAACGACCTCGTACATCAACAACGGACACGAATAAGCTTTCACAACCCTGCGTATAATTGATAAAATCATCTTTATCGACCTAAATTATCGTTATTCCTCAGTATTGTTTTCTATTTAATTCCGTTTAATTGTGAAAACTGCATTTGAATAAGTTTTTGACACGAGTTTGCACTACTAATGCACGTCACGGAAAGCTGAGCTATGATCATTGCTTCATTAGAAGAATTGTAGAACAGTCGTTAAAGATAATTTTTATTTAAAAAAAAAAACTTATTGCAGATTGTTAACTCAATTTCTTGAAAATTGAACCGGACTCTAAATAACCGACATTACTTGCTTACGAGAAAACAAGAAATATTACAGCTTAGCCTTAAGCGCCATTACAGCTGTTAGTATTCCATCATGTTTAGATGTGTAAATTTCATACAGTAAATACAACTATTTTCGTTCTTATTGACTCTTTTAAATGATACACATAGTTAAAATAAAGTGACATCTTACACCTTATTAAATTCATTCAGGTGACCTTCTGTTAAATATGCGCATTTTTATGTATTCAAATTGTATTGTTTGTCATATTTTTATAGAAATATGATAAATTATTTATGACATATATGAAGTGCTAAGTAAATGAATGCACACTTCTTGAATTAAAACAATGAAAGTGACATGCTATCGTACACTGATAGAAAACAAGTCATAAAATTCAAATTTTAAACCGTAAGAATGTCACTTATGGTAGCTTTCACTTTGCATTTTGGCAAATATATAACGACAATAAATTTTCTCGAAAAAGCACTTAAAAATAAAAACGTCTAACACAGATTTTATATGCAACTATTCGTGCAGATGTTTATAAAGCTTTTGGATAAAGTTGTAAACAAAATAACGAATTGAAAGGGAAATATGTCATAAATATCGATTAAAGCACTAAAACAAAAAACAAAAATAGGTTGAAGAAGCTTTCAAAAATGTATTCTGCTTGTACTTAACACGGATACTATCATCGCCATGGAGAAATAAAACTGACCACGTCTGTATAAAGACATAACGTAAAAATACGTTCACGCGTATATCAAACTATAGTGCTGCAATACAGTCTTTTGCCACTTCCTGTTTGTTATCTCAAGATGTCTTTTGTGTCGCTGGGTTTCTGGCTCATTCCGACACATATTTTGTATTCCATTTTATACATTAAATTATATAAGTACTGAGTAAAAAGTTGAGCAATTTTTGAACAATATTATTTTAATCAATTTTTAAGCAACATAATATTTTAACATTCAAAAACACACATATAAAAATTCTATGAAAATATCATCATTGATGGAATAAGACATGCATTTATTTGAATATTACTGAGAGGTGTATGGATTGATATGTCTCCGATTAAAAATATGTCTCCGATTAAATTTGTCAAAAAATTGTGACAATATCATACCGTTGACAGTGGATATCTTACTTTTTTATTCGGCTTAATATAAGGGGTACAGTTTTCCTACTCAATAAATATCTCCTATTTCTAATAAACTTGTAAATCTATATATCAAACTTCACTTATATCAGTAATATACAGAGACTGTTTGTTTAATGTAGAAAGAAACAACAAAGAACTTTGTTTCAATTAATAAGCACTAAGCCTACTTGTAAAATGTAAACCTCGTTCGCCACCCACTTTGCCAGGATTGAGGGAGATACCGCTTTCAAGACAGTTTCAGCGCTTTGTAAAAGCCGCTGTCGAGTTATTTACGAGTATTAACTCATGTTTCAATTTAGCAAAATGCTTCTTACGCGATAGGTAATGATGAAATATGGCCGCTTCTGTTTGTTTATCAGTCAGACGTCGAGGTGGGCTTACGACCCCGAAGAGCAGTTATAATGCTTTACTTTAGTAAACATTATGTTGAGCTATTGATCTCTGTGTATTGCTGAATATTAATTTCAACTTTATTAGATAAACCATATTGAATCGCTTATATATGCAATGGAATAATGCACGTGCGTTGATAAAATAATTCAATTTTGCAACTGCTCAAAATGTGGTACATGTATATTTGGAAAGTGGGTTTTTGGTGAAAATGTAGAAACATTTTCCAGCTTGAATATTTGAATTTGGGTTGATAAATACACAATAAAAATTAACCGACAAGCAGCAACGATTCAAGAAAACATTAAAGCTGGAATTAGTTTTCCTGTTTAATAAACCTTTAGAAAAATAACCAAACCAGCAAAAGTAACCATTCGATTAACATGGCAAAAAGCTTAGTTTCCGGAGTTTGCAACAGTGCACGTGACTTGTCAATTTCATTAAGGATTTCATATTTACTTGTTAATCATCGATTCTTGCATCTCAAATAAATGATTTTGTTTGTCTTTTGTTATTTGACGTACATTAGGGACAAATTCAAAAGGAATGAAAACCAAGAACGCATAAATAATGAATGTTGGATAAACATTTAGGAAATATTACATGTAATTGTCGCCTTTGAATTAGCGCTAACTTGTGTATGTTACTTTCATAACTTAAAATATAAATGTTTCACACGAAAAATACCTGTTAAAAGATCAAAGCGTAATCACCAATGGCCAGCTGTGATCAATGTGGATTCTAATATTTAATTAACAGCTTTCAAATGATACTTTTAACAGTCTTGGCTATTCATTTCACGTTATGTACGATTTATTTGAAAATCAAAAAGTTTTTCTTGTATTTTTATTCAGTAAATAAAACTGTACTAGTCGACATGCAAAAAGCAGTTAAAATTGCACTCATTCATTTCCCTAAATATAAGTCAAAGAAAAGCTCATCTCCATAACTTAAAAACGAACGTCAAGCATTAAAGCCGTCATAATCTTGTCTCGATTAAAATGTGTTTTCATATCCTTGTTGTAAATGAAAATGGACTTTTTAAATTGTATCTGAAGAGGTAGTTAGGTGTAAATCTACAATACTTTATCATGTAAAAGGAAAGATGGAACACGGAGAATTTATTCTTACGAATCCTTACGCATCGTTCAGCCTAATGATCATACATTACAATACTCCCCCTTTCAAAGTAATTGTATCCTTGTATACAACATAAACACAAACTAAACCCATTGATCCAGCCTTCTGTAAGAGTAATTGAGTAAACATAAATCGCTTTTCTACATCGTTTTATGAAATCGAGCTTAAAGAAATTTTGAAATTAACATCTGCTAAATAAACTGATACAGATATTATAGAAAAGATCGAGCAGTGATGTGAAAAAATTTAACCACTAGTTACTTGAAAAAGTTGCTTTTAATCCTTAACAGGTGGAATATAATACGCCATTTGGAATTTGATAAGTCTTTATGCTATTGAAGATCTATAATAAACGGTCTAGCTGTGGCATGTAATTCTTGGTTAAAGAGCAAGAGTCAAAACGAGCATATATTTGTTTATGACGAGAATCGCTGCATGTTATCACCGAAACCTCTAAAAACCGTTCCGCACAAATGTTGTGCTGATAAGTGCTTCGATTATGACCATGGTAAAATAAATTCTTTTTGTGACTCTATATAGACAGGAACTTATTCAAAAGTCAAAATAAGCCATTCATGTATTTTTTGATTCTCTATATACCCTCAAAGGTGCATTACATTTAAATAAGAATTTTAAGTATTTATGTAAGAAGATTGCAATTGATTTACATGACCAATTAATTTTAGATTTTAATTGTCATTTGACAGGTTAAAACTATTCCAAGTATATTAACCTGACAATTGAGACAAATTTAAGACATATTTAAATAAGATCGATTCCAAATCGTTCAATATGCATAAATGATTAATGTACTTTTTCTATGGTCGTCCACACTAAAGTTTGAAGAATATTTTCTTCTTTTACATGTACGAATCATCATTATTTCGTATTAAAAAGTGTTCTTTGTTTCTAGTGCAAAACTATTATTTATTGTACAACATAGTGTTAACTTTTTGAAATCCTTTGCTGAAAGGAAGTCCGCATACGTGTTACAAGTTTGTTACATACCTAGATTTGCACATGGCGTGAAAACGAATTCAAGGTTATTTAGACGCTTTGATCATCGTTCCGGTGTAGCCTAAATGTATTGTCACATGATAAATGCAGATTCTTGTCAAGGAAAAGATCCATCTGATTTTGACATCACTGGTCAAAATTGTTTTACAAATACATTAACTAAACTCTTTCCGTTCGAAGTTGTTTGAAAATAAGACAAGAAAATGATTGTAAAGTATGTATCATCAGAAAATTAATCATATGAACATGAATACGTGGACATACATAGAGTATAAATATATAAACCATACATTTGCTTAAACGAAATTAAATATTAAATTATTTCATTTTTTTTCAGAATCAAAAGGAAGAAAGAAAAGAAAACCATATACCCGATATCAAAGTATGGTATTGGAAAATGAATTTTTGAACAGTTCTTATATAACCCGACAAAAACGGTGGGAAATTTCATGTAAACTACAGCTATCTGAACGACAAGTTAAAGTATGGTTTCAAAATAGACGGATGAAGAGAAAGAAACTAAATGAACGTGCAAAAGCTAGAATACGGGATGACGATATAAAAGACGTTTTACCGCAAGGACCACATATTCAAGCGTAATGATGACTTGTCTGAATCTCATGAACGTTTTAACTCATAAACCACATAAATTTTGCAATGTCTCATCCAGCGAAAGAAGTGAAAGTTACTAAGGAAAGTTCCTTGTAGATGTGATCAGGAGGCACTGTGTCTTGCAGCCTTTTTGATATATAAAGACACAAAAGAACGACAACCGATCGCAAACAGAACAGGCACAAGAAAAAGAACGCTAATCTAATGCGCCACAATTAAGAGGACGCTGATATATGACAAGTGCTAGAAATTAATGTCAATTATATGTATGTATGTATGTTTTGAAATAAGAAGTTGTGTATTTTTTATTTAAGATATTTGATAGAATGACAGGGATTTTTTGTTTTGTTTCTTGCCATATAGAGTCCAAATGTATATGTATATATTATATGACGGTATTTAATTTGAATGAATGTTTTGAGATGTTGTTATGATTATTTTTCACTGTCTGATTTACTCTCAAACAATTATCACCATTTATTATTTGCTCAAATCCACATTATAAGATCTCGTCACTTTTCTTTAAAAATACAGGGAAGTTTTAACCAGTGAATTTTGGAACATTTAAAATCTGTTAGTATTTGAACGTCATTTGATTAAAAATATAAATCTCTTAAGTTGATTGAATTATAAATTCATATTCTAAATTTATTATGGTGTTGAATAATTCTACATTTATTTTAAAAGTTATGTTTTTACAAAGCAATATTTATGTTGTTTAGCACTAGCACATGTTAGAAAAAAACGGATAAAATAAATTAATAATATTTAATACAGAAGATTCTAAAAGGGTGTAGAGTAATTCTTGATTTCTGAATCTAATTCATTCACGATAAAATTTAAAAAACTTTAACAGATGGAAAGAGCATATCTTTATTCAATTTACTAGTAATAACAAAAATCTGTCAATTTGGTTTTGATAGAAAAAAATAAACTGGTTTAAAACGAACAGCAAGTAAATAAGCTAACAATTCAGATACACATGTTTATTTCATACATCCGAAGAATAAATTATTTAAACTTTGTTCTTAAATAAGGAATATCGAACCAAAAAGAAAAACATAGTTCTCTTAAAATCCATTGGGTACTCCAGTAATTTTTTAAATGTTGCTGTACTACTTTGGAATAACTTTTGAATTTAATATTAAGGCAGCAACTATTTTCTCGAGTCTGTTTTTCTTCTTAATGTCATAAAAAGTAGGACAAGAAAGTATATGTGTTTCAGGTATTTTTGTTTACAAATAGGACAGAGCTACGTTTGACTACCATTTGCTAATCTCAACATGTTAATTTTGCTTACCTATGTCGTTAGGATTCCTTCTGCTTAACGTTTTCCCCTTCTCTATATACTAGTACACTCAAGCAGATTAGAAATTGTCTGTTTTAGCTTTTTTAAACTCAAGATATACTTGAGGGGTATTATTTGGAGTTAAGTAATACCTTTCTGCAATTTTTTTTTATGAAAACTAATGGTTAGTAGGGAAAACCTGAAACACAGATATTTTTTACTTTGACCTTAATAGTACATTGTCATTTCTAGCAGTTCATTAATCACATTTTAAACATTATTTACACAAATCACAGGGAGAACTTTCTCTCACATTATTTTCACTTTTATCATGGGAAGAAATTTCTCCTGCAAGATTTACATGTTTATCATAAGGGGAACAGATCTTCCACTGCAATATCAGAATATAATATAAAATTATGTTAAAATGTCCCAGGTATTGAACTTGTTTATTCTTTGAAAGGATTCTGAAACTTCCTTTACAGAGATTTATTTCATGTTCGATGGAAATAAAATATTAGGTAAAATATTTGTTGTTGTATAATTTATCTGCATACTTAGCGAAGGTGTATCTAAATTTAATGTTTCTGTTACCCGAAAAGATGATTAATCCATTTGGCAAAAATGAGGCGGCAGAAACCAAGGGGACATTCAATAGTCATGGAAGAAAAAACGAAAAAGGACAAGAATAAAAAAAGAAAAAAAATGACACACAAGAATACATAGAAGACTAAACTGAGCATCATTAACCCCATACATAAACAAATAAATAGAAAAAAAAAAAACCAAAAAAAAAACACCTCACAAGTCTGCATATAAGACTGAAGACTGAGCATCATGAACCCCATAAATAGACAAATAAAAGAAGAACAATTACACACAAGACTTCATAGAAGACTAAAGACTGAGCATCATGGACCCCATAAATAGACAAAAAGAAAAAAATACACACACGATTACATAGAAGACTACAGACTGAGCATCATGAACCCCATAAATAGACAGAAAGAAAAAAAATACACACACGATTACATAGAAGACTACAGACTGAGCATCATGAACCCCATAAATAGACTAAAAAGAACAACAATTACACACAATAGATGTAAAAGGATGTGGTATGAGTGCCAATGAGACAACTCTCCATCCAAGTCACAATTTGTAAGAGTAAACCATTATAGGTCAAAGTACGGCCTTCAACACGGCGCCTTGGTTCACACCGAACAGCAAGCTATAAAGGGCCCCAAAATGACTAGTGTAAAACCATTCAAACAGGAAAACAAGACTACATAGAAGACTAAGGACTGAGCATCATGAACCCCATAAATAGACAAAAAGAAAGATTACATCAATCATAACGAACTACCGAAATGAGAACTATTTTGTATAGTCCTGAATTTCTTGGTTCCTTTATCTCTAGTACATAGATATAAGAAGATGTGGTATGATTGCCAATGAGACAACTCTCCATCCAAGTCAAAAAGTAAACCATTATAGGTCACAGTACGGTCTTCAACACGGAGCCTTGGCTCACACCGAACAGTAAGCTATAAAGGGCCCCAAAAACTACTAGTGTAAAACCATTCAAACGGGAAAAACCAACGGTCTAATCTATATAAAAAACGAGAAACACTTATGAACCACATCAACAAACGACAACTACTGAACATCAGATTCCTGACTTAGGACAGGTGCAAACAAATGCAGCGGGTTTAAACGTTTTAATGGTACCAAACCTTCACCCTTCACCCTTCTGAAACGATAGCGTAACATCACAACATAGAATGACACACTATAAAATATCAACTGAAATAGCTTAACTCAATCAAAGGGCCAATGAACATACACTGAACAAATAAATTTGACCTATGATACAATGTAAATACAAAATAAATAAACTAAGGGAAGAATAATAAAAGTAACATGTTATATCGGTATGAAATGTTAAACAATTTAAGAAAAACAATATGCTCAAACAAAAATATCAGCCATTTGCAATAACTTTATCACAGGTAAATGAAAATAATATTGTTGTTAGGTATACGTGTACAGTTCCGATAGAGCAAGGAAATATTTTTACAAAATAAATAATTTTGATGTTCATAGTACGAAGTGAAAATTTATAGTAATACCAAACACTTATCAAAGCTGGCATATAGACCAGATATAACCCTGAATAACATTAAATAACAAAAAAAAAACATTACAATTAGTATCAACAGGTCAAATAAACACGAAAGTACGATTTGAGAGTACTCGCAGTGACTGACAACATCACAGGGATTAATTATTTTAACGTCATGGACAGTCAAAGAAGACATGACTAGTGCAATGCCAAACATAAATGTATCGACAGACAGTAGGATAGTTAGGAGTTTAACCTCTTTATAGATCAAAATGAACGTGGGTGTGTCTTTTATACATCCCGTTTGAAAAGAATACAAATTTAGTTATGTTTTAATTTGCTGATGACAAAATCGATATTAGTGCCAATGTGAACTATATTCAAAGATCTAATTACAACATTGGTAAGATAACCTTTACTAATAAGTTTGTTTGCATACTTTTTACCTTTCTCAATAGAATCAGTCTGGATCTTTACTACGTATTCAGTTGACTTTGCTGTCTACCAAGATCAAATGCGTATGTCTGATTATACTTTCCATGACCACACAATATTAATATTGACGAAAACAATGAAAAGCAACAGTTTTTTAATGCCATGCGTCCAAAGCGCTTTTCTAGGGCTACTTTCATCAGGAACGCACAAAGCCGAATATTTGAAAGCCAGGGATGTATAAGAACCATAACAGTTGAAGAGCTATATGACCAAAAGGGACCTCAAATATTAGTGAAATCAATCTAAGGTGAACTTTGCCTGGGGAAGTTGAAATCTTAGTTTTTTAATAATTTATAAATTTTAAACGGACAAGTTAAGAAAAGTTTGTTATACATCATGTATCATGTCAGTACCGAAGTACTGACTACTTATGATACCATCGAAAAATCCAAAAAGTGTTTGAAATGGTTCGCGATTATCGAGTATGGAATAATCACATCAAAGAAGGAAATTCTAAGATTAAATACAAACTCAATAGAACATGCTTTCCAAAGTTTTAGTTTTCATCGTTTAGGCATCCTTAACCAAAGCTGTACCGATAACCATGGTGTCTTTCAGAATTATTTGCGGTCCACTGTCTAACCAACATGATGCAATAATTTAATTTTGGATGTAACACGTCTTCTGATTGGCTGAAAGTGTTTTGTCTATCAGCTCATAGACATAATTTTGTCATGTGACCGTGACGTCTCAACCGTTTTTTTCAAAATTTACTCCTTAAAAAATGGAATTTAGAATTAAATTATAAGGAATGACTGTAATACTTTTTCTGTCTATTCGAAATAACATAAAAAATGTGGTGCACACTTTTAAATAAAATTCTACGCGGTTTATTCAGTGTGCACCACATTTTTGATGTTATTTCTTCATAGACAGAAAAAAATATTACAGTCATTCCTTAAATATAATGATTACTTGAAGAAATCGTATTTTAAATCGGCACAATTCAACATATAAGATTGACTCGAGTGTTCGATATATGAAAGTTCAGAATTTAATAAAATACCAAGTCAGTATTACTAACTCTCTGATATTTGTAACATGGTACATGCAGCAATTTATCATAGAAAGAGGAAAAAATTCTTTAAATCAGCTCTTTAAAAATGTTGTTAAATATCTAAAGAGCGTAATGAAGTAAATGATCATGGCGGGAATGTATATACAAAAAAAGAACTCTATACAAATAAATCACCAGGAATAAAAACTAGTCCAGACTTCTGTTACAGATATCAATGACAGGGTATAAATTCAGAAGCTTCTCTTAACTGATGTCTAAAAACACAAGAGAGAAAACACAGGATAACCAAAATGATAATAAATTGTTATCTTTCGTATATTACGAATTTATAAAAACTTGATAGTGTGGATGGCATTCTATGTTTGATTCGACATCTCATTAACAGCTATATATTTTAGGGAATCTTGATTTTCGATAACCTAACAAAGACCTACGACAATCGATTGCAATTGGGATTTCTTGTCCTTAACCTGAAACACGTTAGTTCCCTTGGAAATAGATCGTCTCATAAAGATGAACTACGACGGGAATTATAAGAGTGTGAACGATCGTGATTAGTCCAAACTACTCATGAGTTGAGTGCATGTATATAGCTTGGGTTTAAGCACCCACACCAATCGTAATTGGTTATAATAAGAATGACATAATCTGTATTCATCGATTAATATTGACCGAGAGATTCAAGAGTAAACAATTTCAATCGGTTTAATGCTTTAAATCACGATTGCTGACATTTTTACCTATTATGTCCGTTTGTTTTGATCACACATTGTTGCCAATATAATGGAATTCTATGCGACTGTCATACAAATGAGAGGTTTAGCTCGCTATAAAACCAGGTTTAATACACCATTTTCTACATGAGTAAATGCGTGTACCAAGTCAGGAATATGACAGTTGTTTTCCATTCGTTTGGTGTGTTTGAGCTTTTGATTTTGCCATTTGATAAAGGACTTTCCGTTTTGAATTTTCCTTGGAGTTCGGTATTTTTGTTATTTTACTTTTTTGCCAGCTCGATGTTAGAAGAATGAACTTATTTGAAATGAATTCAATTGATCTTATTGAGATAATGATTAAACGGTAAGTTACAAAAAAGACTGCAACCTGTATTTTGCAGCCGTAGAAAATTTCAAGAGAAATAGTTCTCTGAAATATTTACCATTTAAATTAAACAAAACTGTAACAAATTAATACAAAAAGGGAAACTATTCAAATTAGATCTGTAACTGATCATATCATGACTAGATACACAAAACTGATTAATACAAGATACCAAGGGCGTAACCAAGAAAACAGAAGTTGAAGAAACATGACAAAATGGAATAACATTGCATGCCCGGTCAGTTAGTATCGGAATTGCATGCCCGGTCAGTTAGTATCGGGATTGCAGACGAGAAAAACAGACAATACCATGATTAGAAAGAAAACAAAATCCACAAAACAACGGTTAAAAAAACTAAAGATGTAGCAGCACGAACCAATGCAAATTTTCTAATGCTCTACAGAAGGGCAATCAGTTCTAGCTCTACTAGGGGCACCCATCAAGATGAGGAAAACAAAGACGTGCATGAAAAAATAACTTGAAAACCCTCATGCAGAGGTGACCTTTGTTGGTTTTGGATGAACTTCTCAAGCCTGTTTTGTTAGCTCACATATGTGATCAACCATTGTATAGGTAACGACACTTGAAGCAAATACTAGTACTTATGTATTGGTATGGATTTAATGATACATTTTGACTTATTTTTCATTTTAGAAAGAGATGCTACTGCAATATAATAAAGACTCAACTCACTAAGACAACGTAAAACTTATACATCGTTTTGGATGTTCAAATTTACTCAGTCCTTTTTGATTTCGAAGCTCACTTATATTTGACATATCAACCTTT